GAACCGCGGAAGAGCCCGGCTGGATTAGACCAGTGAGGTTCCATCCAGTCCAGCCTCATGTCTCACACAGGGGCCAACCAGCTCCTCTGGAGGGCCAACAACAGGGCAGAGAGGCCGAGGCCTTCCCCTTAGAAGAACCTCAGCAGAGCCCCGCTGGATCAGACCAGGGAGGGTCCATCCACTCCAGCATCCCATCTCACACCAAGGCCACCCAGTTCCTCTGGAGGGCCAACAACAGGGCAGAGAGGCCGAGGCCTTCCCCTGAGAAGAATCTCAGAAGAGCCCCATTGGATCAGACCAGGGAGGGTCCATCCAGTCCAGCATCCTGTCTCATGCAGTGACCAACCAGTTCCTCTAGAGGGGCAGCAACAGGGCAGAGAGGCCGAGGACTTTCCCCAAGAAGAACCTCAGAAGAGCCTTGCTGGATCAGACCAGTGAGGGTCCATCTAGTCCAGCCTCCTGTCTCACACAGTGGCCAGCCAGTTCCTCTAGAGGCCGAAACAAACAGGGCAAAGAGGCCGAGGCCTTCCCCCAATGTTGCCTCCTGTCAATGGGATTCAGAGGCTTAGTGCCTCTGAATGTGGTAAAGGTAAAGGTTCCCTTGCTCGAAAGCCAGTCGAATCCGACTCTAGGGTTGCGGTGCTCATCTCCGTTTCCAAGCCGAAGAGCCAGCGCTGTCCGAAGACGTTTCTGTGGTCATGTGGCCGGCATGACTAAACACCAAGGCGCACGGAACGCTGTTACCTTCCCACCGAAGTGGCCCCTATTTATCTACTTGCAATTCCTTGCTTTCGAACTGCTAGGTTGGCAGGAGCTGGAACTAGAGATGGGAGCTCACTCTATCATGCGGCACCCGGGTCTCGAACTGCTGAACTACTGACCTTCCACAGCCTGCAGTTCAGCGTCTTAACCACTTGAGCCACCGCAGCTCCATGTTCTGAATGTGGAGGTTCCATTTAATCACCGTAGCTTTTAGCCACTGCTGGACCTCTTCTCCATGAATCTATCTAATCCCCCTTTAAACCTGTTTATTCCTTTGGCCATCACGATATCCTCTGGCAGCGAAGCCCACCTTTTAACCGCTCTGTTTTGTTTTTCCCTGGGCCTGGTTTTGCTTTCCGATGGCCACTGGCATGTGGGCACGATGCTAAATGTGCAAGCCCAGTCCAGTGTTCCCTCTAAGCTGAGTCCGTGTGAGCCAGCTCACACTTTTTTTAGCCTCTGGCTCACGCATTTTTCTCTTAGCTTAGGAAGGGATGGCTCCAGAGGAAACAAATAGATGCAGTAGCCAAATCGCTCGCTTTAATGCCAGGAGCTCACAAAGTAGATTTTTTGCTCACAAGACTCCATAGTTCGGTCGGGGTCACAACACCGGCTGGTGACCCCGGGTCCTAAGGAGGCCAGGCTTGCGGCAACGAAGACCAGGTCCTTTTCAGTGGCGGCTCCTATCTGGTGGAACAAGCTCCCGGAGGAGATCAGGGCCCCTGCAGCAAATTTTGCAGTTCCGCAGGGCCTTCAAGAAGGAGCTGCGGTGGCTCAAGTGATTAAGACGCTGAACTGCAGGCTGTGGAAGGTCGGTAGTTCAGCAGTTCGAGACCCGAGTGTGCCGCAATGACGGAGTTAGCTCCCGTCTCTAATTCCAGCTCCTGCCAACCTAGCAGTTCGAAAGCAAGAAATTGCAAGTAGATAAATAGGGACCACTTCGGTGGGAAGGTAACAGTGTTCCGTGCGCCTTGGTGTTTAGTCATGCCGGCCACATGACCACGGAAACGTCTTCGGACAGCGCTGGCTCTTCGGCTTTGAAATGGAGATGAGCACCACAACCCTAGAGTCGGACTCGACTGGCTTTCGAGCAAGGGAGACCTTTACCTTTTAAGGGCCTGCAAGACGGAGCTCTTCCGCCAGGCATATGAGTAGGAGCTATTACCACCACCCCTCCACCATAGAGTGACACCGCTGGAGGACCGTGTAACACCCAATTGTGGCCCTAGCCCTCCCCTCTGCCCTGCAAAATGTGGGGAGTTTTCTATTCTTGCGTCTGATGGAATTGAATTTTAAACTGCTTTTATCTATTTTATCTATTGTACGCACTTTGTGCTCATGGAAGCCGCCCTGAGCCCATTCGCGGGAAGGGCGGGGTATAAATGCAATGAAAATGAATAAATAAATAAAATAAATAGCTTGGAGGGAGCATTGGCCCAGTCCTGTGTCCTTGTGGTTAAGGAAGCCAGAAGCCAGCCGTGGACGGCCGTGTGATTCTGTTTTGGATTTGCACTTCTCCCTCTCTCTCTCTTTGCCCTGCAGTCGGAGATGCTCCTTCAGCACCAGTCCAACCCCTGCATCCTGGACAACTCCGGCAAGACCCCGCTCGACTTAGCGTGTGAGTTTGGCCGCGTCGGGGTAAGTGGAGTCCACGGTCCTCTTTTTCTGCGTCTTCTTGGTGGAAAGCGGGGGAACGAGGATTCTCTTTAGGGAGACCAGAATCTGAACACACGGTAGGTTCATCGACACATGAAGCTGCCTTATACTGCATCAGAACCACCACCACCCTGGTCCATCAAGGTCAGTCCTGTCTGCTCAGACTGGCAGCTCCTCTCCAGGGTCTCAGGTGGGAGGACTTTCCCATCATCTCCTGCCTGGTCCTTTTATAACTGGAGATGTTGCCGGGGACTGAACCTGGGACCTTCTGCATGCCAAGTGGAGGCTCTCCCGCTGAGCCAGAACCCCTTTTTACAGCTCTCCAGGGTCTCAGGCGGTGGTCTTTCCCATCACCTCCTGCCTGGTCCTGTTTGATGGAAGATGCCGGGGACTGAACCGGGGCCCTTCTGCATGCCAAGCAGAGGCTCTTCCACTGAGCCACAGCCCCTCTTTACAGCTCTCCAGGGTCTCAGGTGGAGGTCTTTCCCATCACCTCCTGCCTGGTCCTTTTTAACTAGAGGTGCTGCCGGGGATTGAACCTGGGACCTTCTGCATGCCAAGCAGAGGCTCCGCCACTGAGCCACAGCCCCTCTTTACAGCTCTCCAGGGTCTCAGGCAGAGGTCTTTTCCATCACCTCCTGCCTGGTCCTTTTCAACTGGAGATGCTGCCGGGGATTGAACCTGGGACCTTCTGCCTGCCAAGCAGAGGCTGTGCCACTGAGCCACTTTTCTGGCACTGAGATAGTTTCAGAATGTAGCCATGTTGGATTGCAGTAGAACAGTTTGGTTCAGGTCCAGTAGCACCTTAGAGACTCCACAAGCTTTTCGGTGTATGGGTTTTTGAGACTCAACGCTCCAAATTTCCCCTGATAAGAACCTCGGAGGAGCCCTGCTGGGTCAGACCAGGGAGGGTCCATCTAGTCCAGCCTCCCGTCTCACACAGGGGCCAGCCAGTTCCTCTGGAGGGCCAACAACTGGGCAGAGAGGCCGAGGCCTTCCCCTGATGAGAACCTCAGAAGAGCCCTGCTGGATCAGACCAGTGAGGGTCCATCCAGTCCAGCATCCTGTCTCACACAGAGACCAACCAGTTCCTCTGGAGGGCCAACAACAGGGCAGAGAGGCGGAGGCCTTCCCCTGATAAGAACCTTGGAAGTGCCCTGCTGGATCAGACTAGTGGTCCATTTTGTCCAGCATCCCATCTCACACAGGGGCCAATCAGCTCCTCTGGAGGGCCAACAACAGGGCACAGAGGCCTTCCCCTGATGTTGCATCCTGGCTTTGGGATTCAGAGGATCAATGCCTCTGAATGTGGAGGTTCCCCTCAGTTGCCGTGGCCAGTAGCCACCAAAAGACTTATCCTCCGTGAATCTTTCTAATCTCCTTTTAAAGCTATTTATTCCCGTGGCCATCACAACAGCCTCTGGCAGCGAATTCCACCTTTTAATCACTCTGTGTGTAAAGTAGTATTCGATTCCCCCACTCCTCCACTTGCAGCTGCTGGATGACCTTGGGCAAGCCATAGTTCTTCAGAGCTGTTGTCTTAAGAGCAGTCCTTGAGAGAGCTCTCTCGGCCCCACCGACCTCACAGGGTGTCTGTTGTGGGGAGGGGAAGGGAAAGGAGATTGTAAGCTGCTCTGAGACTCGAAGTGAAGGGCGGAGTATAAATCCAATCTCTTATTTTCTTCTTTTCTTCTTTTGTCTGTCCTGAACCTACTGCCCATCGGCTTCATTGGATGCCCTTCCCTTTTAGGAGAGGAAGTTCTCTTTGTCAACTCTATGCACCCTGTGCATCTATATATCTAATAGCCAAGTTGCCCCCTCCGTGTGGATATCTAAATCCGCACATCGGGGGCACTTGGGGGGCAGGGAGATTTTCCTGCACACTTGGAGCAGTCTCCAGGTGTGCAGAAAAACCTAAAAACTTGAAAAAAAATATGGGGGATACTTAAAGCCCCCCAAAAGTAAAAGCGTTCCCTGCACATGTGCAGAGAACGCTCTGGCCATGGGGGGGGGATACTTGGCGGACTGGGCAGCTGGGAGCCGCTCAGGCCACGCCGCTGGAGCCGGGTGTGTGTGTAGGAGATTGGTGGGCCCGCGCGGCTCATCACCGGGGCGGGGAAGGCAGAAGAGAAGGATTGGTGGGCCTGGTGGCTGGGGACCGTGTGGGCCTCACTGTCGGTGCGGGCGGGTTGGGGGGGAAAGGATTGGCGGGCCCGGGCCTCACCATTGGTGTGTGGGGGGGAGCGGGCCGCTGAAAAATCCCAGGCGCTTCAGCCTTTCCTCCTAGGGAAGGGGCTCCAACCCCCTCACCATCTTGGTCTCCCTCCGTTGTACTTTCCCCAGCTCTGCAGTGTCCTTTTGTAGATACGGTGACCAGAACTTTACCCAGTGTTCAAATGAGGCCACACCGTAGATCTATCCCGGGTCATTACAGTAGCAGCTGTTTTATTCTAAATCCCTTTCCTAATAACCCCCGACACAGAGTTTGCCCCTTTCACCGCTGCAGCACGCGGGGCCGACACTTTCATTTCACTCTGGCCCCCAAGACCTTTCCCTCGGCCCCAGCAGGTTGAGACCCGTGTTCCCTCTAAGCTGACTTAGTGTGAGCTAGCTCACAGTTTTTTTAGCGCCCGGCTCACACATTTTCGTCTTAGCTCAGGAAGGGAGGGCTCCAGAGCAAACTCATTGATACAGCAGCCAAATGGCTCGCTCACAACTTTAGTGCCAGTCGCTCACAAAGGAGAATTTTTGCTCACAAGATTCCACAGCTTAGAGGGGGCCTTGGTGGAGACCCGATTTGCCTAGATTTGGGAGACAGTTTTTTTCCACTCTAGTGTAGAAAAAGCCCAGCAGGAACTCATTAGCATAATAGGCCTCACCCAACAGCAAAACCCATTAGCATATTAGGCCACACCCTGACAGCACCGCTCATTAGCACATTAGGCCACACCGCCATGTTACCAGAAGTGTGGTCATCCAGCCACACCCACCTTTCCCTTCTTATTCTGTTTACCTTGTTTGTTGTCAAAACCCAGGGCCTTTTTTTGTAGCAGGAACTTCTTTGCATGTTAGGCCACACACCCCTAAAGTAGCCAATCCTAATGAGTTTCTGCTCTTGGGTGTGGCCTGTTATGCTAATGAGCTCCTGCTGGGCGTGGCCAACTCGGGAGCCAGCAGGAACTCCGTTCCTGTGCGTTCCTGCCCAAAAAGAGCCCTGCCCAGTGTGCATCACCTGTCGGGGTGGGGGGAGGCTCTACCTCAGCAGGCGACTCCTCCCCGCAAAAACCCCCCTCTTGGGAGAGCTCTCCCTTTAGCATTTCTCTTTTCTCCGGCTCCTCAGGTGGTGCAACTTCTCCTGAGCAGCAACATGTGCGCCGCCTTGCTGGAGCCCAAGCCGGGGGACATCACCGACCCCAACGGGACCAGCCCCCTGCACCTGGCCGCCAAGAACGGACACATCGACGTCATCAGGTGCGTCCTCCCTCCTTGCCTCCGGGGCTCCTGGGAAGAGCTGGGGAAGTCTCTCAGGTGCTCTTTGGAGAATGAGTCAGTGATGGCGAATCTTTTAGAGACCGAGTGCCCAAACTGCGACCCAAAACCCACTTATTTTTTGCAAAATTTAACCTGAATACTGAGGTTTTACTTTAGAAAAAACATTAACTTAAGATGACCCAAACAAAGTAAGGAAAGCAATCCCAAATGCTTTTATTGACTTAAAATTATTTGGCAGAGAACTCGACACTTTAACAACTGTCTGGGCCTGGCTGGGGCGATGGCACAGGTGCCCACAGAGTGGGCTCTGAGTGCCACCTCTGGCCCCCGTGCCATAGGTTCGCCACCACTGGAATGAGTTCAGGAAACCAGTGCCAGTGGCTGAGAACCCGCGTCCGACTTCCAGGAGCTCATTTGAGCAAAAGCTGCCGAATCCGAATGGAGCTGCGGTGGCTCAAGTGGTTAAGACGCTGAACTGCAGGCTGTGGAAGGCCGGTAGTTCAGCAGTTCGAGACCCGGGTGTGCCGCATGATGGAGTGAGCTCCCGTCTCTAGTTCCAGCTCCTGCCAACCTAGCAGTTCGAAAGCAAGAAATTGCAAGTAGATAAATAGGGACCACTTCGGTGGGAAGGTAACAGCGTTCCGTGCGCCTCGGCGTCTAGTCATGCCGGCCACATGACCACGGAAACATCTTCAGACAGCGCTGGCTCTTCGGCTTGGAAACGGAGATGAGCACCACAACCCTAGAGTCGGATTCGACTGGCTTTCGAGCAAGGGAAACCTGCTGAGTCCGAAAGGGGTTCTGGAACCTACAGGATTGGGGTCCATTGCTGGAGACGGCTGACCGTGAACCAGCAGGGTGGGGGGGTACAGTGTTCCCTCTAAGCTGAGAGTGTGAGCTGACTCACAATTTTTTAGCCTCCGGCTCACATATTTTTGTCTTAGGAAGGGCAAACGAATTCATGCAGTAGCCCAATCGCTCGCAACTTTCATGCCAGGAGCTCACAGACTAGAATTTTTGCTCACATGACTCCACAGCTTAGAGGGAGCATTGGTGGGGGGGTAGGATTGGCTCAGCCCTGCAAGAAGGGAGAGGGCTTGTTAGGAATGGGGAGTGGGTGTGTAGGCAGCACACACACCCCTTCAGTCAGTGGCACTGTCTGGCACAGTCTTCCCTCTAAGTTGAGCCAGTGTGAGCTAGCTCACAGTTTTTTAGCCTCCGGCTCACACATTTCTGTCTCAGCTCAGGAAAGATGGCTCCAGATCAAACTGATTTGTGCAGCAGCCAAAATCGCCTGCTCACACAACTTTGATGCCAGTAGCTCACAAAGCAGAATTTTTGCTCACAAGACTCCACAGCTTACAGGGAGCATTGGTGGGGGGTGGGGGGCAGTGTTCCCTCTAAGCTGAGTTAGTGTGAGTTAGCTTACAGTTTTTTTAGCCTCTGGCTCACACATTTTTGTCTTAGCTCGGGAAGGACGGCTCCAGAGCAAACTAATTTATGCAGCAGCCAAATTTCTGGCTCACAACTTTAATGCCAGTAGCTCACAGAGGAGAATTTTTGCTCACAGGACTCCGCAGCTTACAGGGAGCATTGGTGTGGGGGGCGGGATTGGCTCAGCCCTGCAAGGAGGGAGAGGGCTGGTTAGGAATGTGGGGAGTGGGCGTGTAGGCAGCAACCCCCTCTTCAGTCAGTGGCAGTGCCTGGCACAGTGTTCCCTCTAAGCTGAGTTAGTGTGAGCCAGCTCACAGTTTTTTAGCCTCCAGCTCACACAGTTTTGCCTTAGCTCAGGAAGGAAGGCTCCAGAGCAAGCTAATTTATGCGGCAGCCAAATCCCTCGCTTGCAACTTTTGCATTTTTGCTCACAAGACTCCCCCGCTAAGAGGGAGCATTGGTGCCTGGTGCTGTTTGCAGAGGGGAGGAAGAACCCCCAGGGGGAACGGCTTTCTGGATCTCTAGGGAGTTCCGCGTGACCCACTTCTGCCTCAACCGCTCCGTGAGAGGCCTCAGCAGGCTCCTTTCCAGTTCGGTGTAGTGGTTAAGTGCGCAGACTAATCTGGGAGAACCGGGTTTGATTCCCCACTCCTCCACTTGCACCTGCTGGTGTGACCTTGGGTCAGTCACAAGTTCTGTCAGAGCAGTTCTTGAAAAAAAGAGCCGTTTCTGTCAGAGCTCTCTCAGCCCCACCTACCTTGCAGAGTGTCTGTTGTGGGGAGGGGGAGGGAAAGGACTTTGTCAGCTGCGGATCATGAGAGGGAGGGAAGGGAGGGCTGCCTCAGGGCTTAGTTCTTGTGGCCTCTTCTTACACGCCAGGGAAATGCCGATCGCCGCTTTGGGGTCAGGAAGCAAATTTTCACCAGGCCAATTTGGTTGGAAATTTTGGAGATTTTTTTGGCCATCTTCTGTGCATGGCGCAGGGGTCGGGGGGGGGGGGAGTATTTCTGAATTCCCTACATTGTGCAGGGAATGACCCTGGAGGGCCCTTCCATGATTCTATGGAAGGACAGAGCTAGAGTCCAGGAGCATCTTAAAGACTAACAAAATTGGTGGCAAGGGAGGAACATTGGTGAGCCACCGCTCACTTCTTCAGATACAGCGAGAATGTGAGTCCATCTGTCCTCATATCTTACCTCCATTCTAGTTGTATCCGAAGTAGTGAGCGGTAACTCACGAAAGCGCCTCCCCTGCCGCAGATTTTGTTAATCGTTCAGGTGCTCCTGGACTCTGGCTCTTTTCCACTGCTACAGACAGGCTAACGCAGCTGCCCGGCTTGATCTATCCCAAGAAAGGAGTCTTGGGGGCAGGGCGTGGTGAGAAGGCCAGTCTCAGGGAAGGGTGTATTGTCTCTTGGAGAGCTGTGGACGATCCAGGGCGGGCAGGGAAACCCCCCCCCCCCGCCCATGCAGTCATCTGTGGCAGGGAAGCAACTATGGGGCGGCCCGTGGGACCCAGCAGGAAGGAAACGTCTCCTTAAGAGCTCGGCAAATTGGAGGGGCTGCCCCAAGGGGGGCGGGAATATCAGCTCACGGAGATGAATTGCAGAAGGGCAGGAGGGGGGAGGGGGCTCCATTAGGGGCTTTATTAATGTGTGTGGTCGAATCCCGGAGGGACCGGCCAGATCACTTAGCGAGGCCTCCCCCCTCCATTCCCTTCCCGCGTCAGGCTGACCCGACGCAGGGATGGCAGGGAGGAGAGGCCCCCGCCCCCCGGTGTTTCTCAGTGTGGGGTGAGGATCCCACAAAGGAATCATAGGATGTGAGAGTTGGAAGGGACCTTGCAGGTCATCCAGTCCCACCCCCTGCACTCTGCAGGAGCACAGCCAACAGACGGCCCGACAACATACCCGAGAGATGGCCGCCCAGCCTCCGCTTGAAAGCGTCCCGCGAAGGAGCATCCCGCGAAGGAGCATCCGCCACCTCCCGTTAGGAAGTCTCTCCCGATATTTAGCCGGTATCGACTCCCTGGTCGTTTCCACCCATAGGAGCGAGCCCCTGTTTTGAGCAGCGAGAGATGTGCTCACCAGAGCCCTCTCTCCTGTGTACTCTGGCCGCACTGTGAGCTACTAGCATTAAAGCTGTGAGCAAGCAATTCGGCTACTGCATAAATTAGTTTGCTCTGGAGCCCTCCTTCCTGAGCGAAGACAAAAACGTGTGAGCTGGAGGCTCAAAAAACTGTGAGTAGGCTCACACTTACTCAGCTTAGAGGGAACACTGCTCA